AATTCTAGTTCCCTAATAGCTTCAAGCAGAACACAAGCAGAAGAAGACCCTGCGAATTGTAGTTCCCCAATAGCTTGATGCAAAACACAAGCAACACCGATCCCTGCAAATGCGAACCCCCCAATAGCTTCATGCAAAACACAAAGAAAACCGAACCCTGCAACTTGTGGTTCCCCAACAGCTTCATGCTAAACACAAGCAAAATCAGACTCCGCAAGTTGTAGTTCCCCAATAGCTTCATGCAAAACAGAAGCAAAACCAGAGCCGTCGAATTCTAGTTCCCCAATAGCTTGATGCAGCAAAGACCGCAGTTGCCGCTGTTGGCAACCACAACCAGTGGGCCAGACTTAGGAAAGCAAGCCGGGGAGGGCCAGACCTAGAAAAAAAAAAACCGCTCCGCCCCCTTGTTCCAGTCTTTTTCTCACAAAAGAACAATTAAAACGTCTCTTGGTTCAACATGTGTTTTTCTAGTACCCCTTTTTTACATTTTTTTTTTAAAATTTCGGTGTTTCAAAAAGGCGCCCCACCGGACCTGGCCTCGCGGCTCGGCGAGCGCCTCGGCGGGGCCTCGGCGCCGAAGTTCGGTAGCGAAGGAGAGCTGGAGGCCCCGTTAAAGGGATCTTTAAGGATTTCCTTTAAAGGGATCCTTTAAGGGTTTCCTTTTGAGGGATCCTTTAAAGGGATCTTTAAGGGTTTCCCGGTTTAGGGTTTTAGGTTTAGGGCTTAGGATTTAGGGTTTAGGGTTCAAGGGATCCTTTAAGGCTTTCCTTTACAGGGGTCCTTTAAAGGGTTCCTTGCAAGGGATCTTTGAGGCCCCCGAACTGTGGTGCCTTGGGGTTCCTTAAGACTTCCTTGAAGGATTCCTTAAGGGATCCTTAATAAAGGGTCTCTGGGGGGGGGGTTCCTTTAAGGGGTTCCATGTGAGGGTTTAGTGGTACAGCAAGAAGTCCATCTACATGTTTGGTGATTTTTCGGTGGCGGCAAGAGCCTCCATGTAATCCATGTTGCGTGCGTTTTTGACCTTGACTTGTTTGTTCAAGCTGCCACTCCAGAGGCTCGCAAAGGCCGCATGCAGTTTCCCCCACCGATTGGAAGCCGGAAGCAACAGAGAAATTCACACGTGATGACTGGAAACCTGGCAAGTGCAATTCATTGAATCATAGGAGGCCAACAGGGATTTTAGCCTATGGGGGTTTAGTAGGGATTAGGGTTCCCATAATAGGGTTCATATTAAGGAATCCCTACCCCAAGAATCTTAAACCCCCCCTTTTGGCCTCCCATCATCGAATGACAGGCCCTCATTATCCATGCTCGAGGTTGTCTGGGACTTTACGGCCGACAGAGATGGTGCCGATGCATGCAGACCCTATTCTTTCGGGCACTAGCAAAAGATTCCCTATTTACCCCAGGGGGTCCATATATACTACCATTATGGAATCAGGTCCCAAAAGACCATGCCTATTAGGCTTTGGGGGCCTAATTAATTCCATAATGGTAGTAATATATATATATATATATATATGGGCCCTGTATTTACTTGACTTTGTGCTGAACTCTGGCGTCTGGGGAGCAGCTGTGAAGGGCGCCTTTGCCCAAACGTCAAGCCTTAGGGGCCAAAAAGGCGCATAAGCATAAGCATTTTATGGGGATATCTCTACCTTTCTTGGGCTTCAGTAAAAGGGGATGTATATGGGATATCCCTATCCTAATTTTTGCTTATGTGCTTTTTTGGGGCCCTAAAGCCCTGCACCCCGAACTCTGCAACTCACGCTACAAAACCGCAAGCCCAAGCTGAAACCCCCAAGCCTTTAAACCCTTTGGAGGGTCGGGGGACTTGGTAAGTAGGTAATAGGTAGAGCTATAAGCGCCCTAGAAGGGATCCTTTTGGAGGATAGGATACTGGCGCGTTCTACAATAACTTCTTACTCACCCCTAAACCCTCAAACCCCCAAAGCCTTGAACCCTCAACGAGTGCCAGGTTTTAGTTCAAGCCCTGATGGACTGGATTTCCGCAACCCGCTGAGACGCGCGATGAAGCGAGCCCCAGTTTTTGGGCTTGCCGTTTAGGGTTCGGGGTGTAGGGATGAAATGAGCTAGTTTCGTTGACTTACTATTCAGGGCTTGGCATTTAGGGTGTTAGGGAGTCATTGCTCTAGTGTGGAGGGTTTAGGGCTTCAAGACTGAGAATTCAGAGTTTTTGGCAAAGTTCAGGGTGTCGGATTCAGCAGGTAAAGGCTTGATGACTTCCAGGTGACTTGGGTGGAGGTTTCGTGGGGGTAGTTCGGGGGGATGAGTGCGCAGCTTGAGGGTCTAGGGTTTATGGTAAACCTGCACAGGATATTCGGCATTTGGGCATGGTCGTTCTTTGGGGTCGTTCTTTGGTTCCCGAAGACAGGACAAGTTTTAGCATCAAGCTCCCCCCCTCACCCGAAAGCTTCCCCCCATCAAAAACTCCTACGGTTGATGATAGAAATCCTGCATTATCTGAAGGACCCTAAACTATGGGAATTTTGGAATATTCCTTATTATGGGTAATGCAGGATGTATATCATCAACCGTAGTATACCGATTCTGTCTGCTACATTCGGCCGCGTCATCCCGCACGGAGCGCCTTAAACACTTCAAACTCAAAACCCACGCTCCTCCACCCCAAAAGCACCAACTAACCATTGACTAGGTAGGCCTTTGGGACATTTTATATTTTCCCTTATTGGGCTTAGTAGGACCCTATTTACGAATATTTTTCAGAGGCTTTAAGGGGCCAACCTAGTTGATATTGGAGGAGCCGAGGAGCCAGGGATGATGATAATCCCTATTAAATAAGGAGCTAAAGAGCCATGGAACCCCCCAAACCCACTGGTTAGCCAAGCCTGAAGAACCTTCGCCCCAAACCCAGAGACTCCAATATCCCTTAATTAAGGAACATTCCTTAAATCATATTAGGGATCGTACTATAATTTAATGTATATTCCTTAATTAAGGGATATTGGAGTCTCTGGGAACCCTAACATCATAAGCGGTAGACCCTGACCCCAAGGCCCCAAGGGCACCATAGACCTTGAACATGACTACACTACACCCGTCAACTGGGCTTCGGAGTGTGTCATAGCAAGGAGCCAGTCTTGGTTTCTGCAGCGCACCCTTTTGGAACGCATGGAGGCTAGTGCGAGTACGGTACTATGCCCAGCAAAAACGGAGCTTGTTTTAACGACGACGTTGTCGGCATTAACCATAAACATAGTTGCAGGTTACTGCCTTTGCCATCTTTTCGGCACGGTTGCGAGGTCGCGTAGATCAGCAAGCCCCAGACCCGAAACCCCAAGCCGCAAAACCCTAAAGCTCCAAATCCCGAGCCTTAAACCTAAGCCACAAGCCTTAGCACCCTAAACCCTGAACCCCGAACCTCATGTTTCGAGAAACCTCCATGCGCTTCCAGCTACAGACGTTTCAGCCAGTTCTCGCTCAACCCCGGAAGGTGCATTCCGAAATGAATGTTACTATCCCCTTATAAGGGTTCTATGTATAAGGATCTGTTTTAGAGATTTTGTCAGGTTCCATAACCGTCCTTCATGGGATCTTCAAGGGTTCTATAAGTCGGGGTTTTATGCAGTTGTAGAGATCGTAATACCACCAGTCCCTTACCCGACAAACATACCGCTACGGCGACTTTACTATCAGCACCACCCGCACGAGTACCGCTAAACCCTACCTTCAGCTACCAAAAAAGTAGGGTCCCTCCAAAATCCATATTAGGGTGAATAATAAGAACCTACAAAAAAGCAGGGTTTGGCAGGTTAAGGTACGCCTTGTTTTGCACAACTCTACGCTCTGACGGGGGTACCGAGCCTCCCGGCCGCTTGGACAGGCGCGGTGGAAAGAAGTTGCGAAGAGTGTCACTGTAAACACCCAACCCCTGCTGCATATAGGGTAGAGGCCAGAATGGGGCTTTGCGGTATCTAGGGTATAGCTGCACATGCTAATAGCCACAGTGTGTTTAAAGGACAAGTATTGCGAAGTATTCAGACATTCATTTCAATTGAGTATCTTTTGTCTCAGGGTCGCTGCCACTCCGATGTCTGATGGTGCCAAGCTCTGTGTCGCCGATTGGTCGCCCGTCTACGCGCCCGAAATTCCCTAACCCGAAACTCCCAAAATCATCATGAGCCGATACCAAGAGAGTCAGTTTTTTTACCTAAACCCTAAACCTCTAAACCCTTAAACCCTAAATCCCAAACCCCTAAACCCCCTAAACCCCTAAGCCCCTAAACCCTAAACCGCTAAACCCCTAAATCCCTAAACCCTAAACCCCAAACCCCCAAACCCCTAAGCCCCTAAACCCTTAAAACCCCAAACCCCTAAGCCCCTAAACCCTTAAAACCCCCAAACCCCTAAGCCCCTAAACCCTTAAAACCCCTAAACCCCTAAGCCCCTAAACCCCAAACCCCTAAACCCCTAAGCCCCTAAACCCCTAAACCCTAAACCCCAAACCCCCAAAACCCTAAACCCCTAAGCCCCTAAACCCTAAACCCTAAACCCTCAGCCCTGAGCCCGACCCCCGGGTCGATGGGGAACTGTGAGTCAAGTTTTAAGGCAAGAGCTCGAAACGTTTTCCATACTGTTGATGGACAAAATCCTGCATTACCCATCATAAGGAATATGCCACAGTTCCCATAGTTTAGAGTCCTTCGCGTCATGCAGGATTTTGTCCATCAGCAGTATGGGTAGTTCTCTAATCTTTTGGGGATCTGACAAAAGGATCCTAATTCAGAGAGCTGGCCATATGGCTTTGCTGCAATCTGTTCATTGTAGAAGTGATGGTCTTGGATACCAGAAGACCTCGACCAAACCCAAAAGCCCTTAACCCTCGAGGCCGTCGTCCCTAAGCCCTGAAGAACCTACGTTTTTAGGGTTCCTTGATCTGATTTCCGTATATGAGTCCTGAAAATGGGGTCCAGGCAAGCTAAGCCCAATGGCTCCCAACCCCAACACTTGGATACCAGGCCGCGGCAGGGCCTGCTCAGCTTCCTGCAAGGCCTCGGTTTCCGGCAATTCACTGAGAGGTGTCTTTGGATTATATCTGGGAGTTTCCCTGGTTCTGAACAAACTGGTCCCCTATAGTCCCAATGCAATTCTGCTATACAGTAAACCCCATAAAGTTGGACACCGGGTTAAGGCCACATAGTGCTGGGATTGCCTATGCATTACTCTTAAGGATTCAGGCTATTGAGTTTCCAACTTTTGGGCTTCTCCTCTAGTTCCTTCTTTTCTGGTATAACCCATCTTATTTGAGAACCCTACATCAAAAAGGGAACTACAATGAAGACTGTAGGTCCACGGGAATTTTCAGGGAGCTGGAGTTGTTATGTACCCCCCAACCCTAATCTGAGTCCCGGGTCCCATGCGTAGCGGCAGGGTGGTTTTCAGGGCTTCAGGTGCCGAGGTTGGGGTTTAGAGGGATTTAGGATTTAGGGTCTAGAGTCTAGGGGTTGAGGGATTTTTTTGGTTTAAGGTTAGGGGTTCAAGGGGTTGAGGGATTTTGGGTTTAGGGGTTCGTTGTTCGAGGTTTATTCTTCAGGATGTAGGGTTTCGGGGGTCGCCTCGGTTCAGAATCCCAGAGACTCCAAGATCCCTTAATGAAGGACCATATACCTTCAATCATATTCGGGATCTTGTAGAATTCAAGGTGCCCTTCAGAGTCCCTTACTTTACTTGGCGTTCTTCTGGTTGGCTCTTAGGACTTTAACTTTCTGGTTTTTTTTTGTGAACTATGATAAGGAGGCAAAAAGTTTAACTTGTATGAGGGGTTCAGAAGTCAGCCACCAAACCCTGGACACCTAATCTCTTTTATAGAACCCTTACAGATCCCGTTACTGAACCCTTATGGATCCCTTTCAAGGAACCCTAAGCCCAAACCCTAACGATTGATGACATAAATCCTGCATTACCCATAATAAGGAATATACCATAATTCCCATAGATTAGGGTCCTTAAGGTAATGCAGGGTTTATATCATCAACCGAAACACCTAAAAACCTTTAAGAGACCTTGCAGTCTCTGGGCAAGCCCTACACTGAACCCTAAAGCCCTAAAGCCCTAAAGCCCTACACCCTAAAACCTAAAGCCCTAAACCCTAAACCCTAAAGCCCTATCTCCGAGCTCTGGACCTGGCAAACCCTTTCAGCCCAAAGGTTGCGAACCCCACGCCCTGCGTCGTCCAAAAGTGTGAGCCCTCAACGGCACTAGGGTTTAGGGTTTAGGGGTTTAGGGTTTAGGGGTTTAGGGTTTAAGGGTTTAGGGTTTAGGGGTTTAGGGTTTAGGGGTTTAGGGTTTAGGGTTTAGGGTTTGGCACGGTTTAGCGGGTTTTGGGTTTAAGGGGGTCGAGGGCCCGTCCTCAACCTTTACTTTGGAAGCTGCAGTTTCACAGGATTCGTCGTTGGAGCGATAATCAGAACTGAATTTATCCCTAAACCCTAAACCAGAGCCTTCCCAGAGACTCCAATACCCCTTAATTAGGGAATATACCTTAAATCATATTAAGGGATCCTACCATAATTAAGGAATATTCCATAATTATTGGAGTCTCTGGGTTGGGTTGGCAGCCAGGCATGAATCTGAGGATTGCCGCGGCCTCAGTGCGAAACCCCCGGTCAGCTCCGTGTTCCTTGGGGTTCCGTTAAGGGGGTCCAAAAAGGCATCTATAAGGGTTCTATATTGGGGATTATTGTAGGGAGTTTTCGAAAATTAGGGGGGGTTACCATATTTTGGGGCCCTTTTTTTAGGATCCTAGTATTTAGGGTACTATATTAGGGTCCCCCTATTCTCGGAAACTCCCATTGGGTGGGACCTAGGCTCGCAGGGTTTAGGTTTGGGGGGATAGGACCCGGTATACCGCCCGCTTGACTTGGAGTTTGCTGCGGCATGTGTCATGGCCTGGTTGAAGCAGTCGCAAAGCTTAAGACTTGAGCCCGCAACCTCAAAAATCCTAAACCCGAGACCTTGCTCTATCAAGCCTCGGGTAACAGAGCGGCGGTTCAGGACAATCTTCTAGATCTCCAGCCTTCACTCCCAATCCAGCCGGAGAAAGGGCGTTTAGGGTTTAGAGGTTGCCGGTTCCAGGTTGCGGTTTTAGGGTTTTTGGGGTTTAGGGGTTTAGGGTTTCGGTTAGAAGGGGCCCCCACCCTGTAGTAGTGACTATAAGGATTATATTAGGGCCCGACTATATTCCTATTATACCATTATTGCAGGGTGGGGGCCCCTTCTAGGGTTTCGGGTTCAGGGATGAGGGCTGTTTCTGCTCGTGGCTTCGTAAAATTTGCTTCTCCTGTTGCTGGTCCTTTTTCTTGAACATCACTTTGCCATAGTTGGCAAAATTTAAGCCTATCCCAACCATGAACTAGATCAGCTGCGTGTTTCTTCCTCTGAGCTGGTTTCCGAATGCGTATGTTGCCTTATTAACCCCCCAACTGTTCCAACTGCACGCTGAGGTGCCGGGACAAAGCAGGACGAGGCCGTCTGCTTCGGACGCATGGTTTTCGAGGGTCTCGGGCTGTAGGTTGAGGGAACATGGCATAAGGTTGAAGGGTGGTTTCGGAGACCCCCAACCCTAAAGATACGCCAAACCCCAAACGCAAGTCCCTTCGAAATACCCCTAAAGTAAAAGCCAGAAAGTTGGAATATGATTATCCTAAACCCTTTATGGCAAATTATAAGGTATCCTACCCTGAAACCATATTCCAACTTTCTGGAGTTCCCTTTAAAGCCTGGCTAATATTCCTTGCTTGATGGGATGGGTTCCTTCTGGCATGAGAACTTGGAGTCCCCCCAAACTTAGGGGTACTTAGAAACATTTTTGAATTTTTGGTTATTATAATCCCTAAGAAACAGTTTTTTTGGTTCTTGTAGTCCCTAAGAAACAGCTAAAATTATGATTTTTGCTAGGGTTCTAAGTTCAGTATAGTAAACCTTAAACTCCACCAAGCCCGAAGCCCTAAAATCTTAACCCCAAACCGTGATAGAACGTTTACAAGAATGAACAAGGGATCCTTCTTCACGGGATCTTTGCGTCTTGGGTAGGGCTCAAGGGCTGTTGTTTGTTTGCTGCAAACGTTGGGGTTAGGTGATTTGAATAAAGGAAACGACCTTCACGTTTGTGTTTCATTTCGCGGTTTGAGGGGTTGTGGGTTTAGGGGATTAAGAGTTTGGGATTTATTGTTCATTTTTGGGGGTTTATGGTTTAGGTGAGTGGGGGTTTAGGGTTGATGGATCTTGGGGATTAGGGTTTCTGATTGAGGTTTGAGGGTCAAGGGGCTTGCCCTCAAGCCTGAATCCTTCACCCCAAGGGCGAAACCGTTAATGATGGCTCACAGTTGGACTTCCTTAGGGTCCCGACCAGCATTTGGATAGTATAGTGTGCCTCAACACCCTACTCACAACCTGAACCAAGTGCTTCCCCGAACAGCTTATACGCACAGCCAAGGCCGAACCCAACAGTACCCCACATAACACCGCTCAAACACGCTAAATCCTATAAACCCTATACTAAGCCCTATAAACCCTACAAACCGTACAAGCACTCCAAACCCAACTTCTCAATCCCTATAAACCCTACACCCTTTTTCCTTACAACGCTTCTAAAAAACCGAAACCCCTGGCAGGTCGACAACCGCCTCGGGGCGCCGTGGACGCAGCGTGCGAGCTGTGTTTGTTCAATTTGTACAGGCTTTATGGGGTTGTTCGGGGTTTAGAGATAGAGTCCAGCTGGAGTATGTTGCTGCGGACCTTCGCATCAATACTACCTCCCCTTGTAGATTCTAGCGTTTGCTTCACCTACCTTTCCCGCCACAATTCATTCAGAGGAATTTTGCTCCGCGAATTGGTTCCTTCCTGTTCGGAAGGTGTCGCACCCGAGACTTCCCCAAATCAGCAGCATTGACCTTCACCTCCGTTTGTCAAGCTTACTTTAGAAGCTGCCCCCACCCTGTAATAGTGGTATAATAGGAATATAATAGGGCCCTAGTACAATCCTTATAGTCATACTATAGTCACTATTACGGGGTGGGGGCACCTTCTCAAGCTTTTTATTGTCATGGCCATGATGCACTGGTGTGATTGTTTTATCGCTTCTTCTCGTGATAATTACTATGCCAGCTTTGCTAACGGTTTTCGGAGCCACCCATTGAAAAAAAAAGTGGGGGTCGCAAGAATTTTCCCCAGCTATAGTTGCCTTTTGAAGAATCTCAAGCCCGAAGCCCGAAACCCTCAAATCGTGAACCCCGAACCAAGCCTCTAACCTGAAGCTCTCAAGCAAGTAATCCTAACACCCAAAATTATCAAAGCCTTCACAAGGCCCCAAAGCCCTTAAACCCCACACCCCAAAAGCCCGAAACACCACGAAGCCTGAACCCTCCTCCCCCTAGACTTAGCACATAGACATAAACCCCTTCAAAACAGAAAACAGCCCTAAAACCTAAACCCTAAAGCACTAAACCCTAAGCCCAAAACCGCAAGCCCTAAACCCTTAAACTTCCCTAAACCCTAAACCCTTAAACCTCTAAAACCACAAACCCTTAAGACCCCCTAAAACCTTCGAAAACCCCCTAAGCCCCAAGCCGTCCAAGGAGGTGCTGGAGGCCCTTGAGGGCCAAGCCATAGCAGTGCAAGACCTCGGTGGCTCGACCTCCTTTTGTAATAGAGGGGCCTTGATATTTACCTATACTAGTTTTGGGGGTTCCTTTAAAGGGGTCTAAATAAGGGCTACAAGAAGGTGTATTCTAAGGATTTAGTACAGGGGCCTTAACAATTACCTATAAGGATTTAGTACAGGAGCCTTGATAATTACCTATAACCTTTTGCGAGGGGTTCCTGATTACAACTTTGGAATAAAAGATACCAAAAGGCAATTTTTGTTCAGGGTTTGTAGGGTTTAGGGTTTCTTTTAGGGCTTGTCTTGTGGGTTTAGGAATTAGGGCTTAGGTCTGATGGGTAGGGCGTAGGATCATGACTGAGGTCTCGAAGCGTTTTTCTGATATTGTGGGTGTGGGATCAAACCCTAAACCCTAACCCCCCCTAAACCCTTCAGAAAACCCTAAACCAGAAATTCAGGTGCAGACAGAAAAAGGAGCTCAACAAAAACATGAGTTTAGTAAGACCCCGGCTTGGAGCCTTCGCTCACTCGACACGCTAAACCTAAACCCTCGGACCCTACTGTCGCTAAACCACGGCATAAAGTTTAGGGGCCGAGGGTTTGGGGTTTTTAGGGCCATATGGGAGTTTCCGAAAGTTGAGAGTACCTTATTTTGGGGTCCTTATAATAAGGATCCTACTATTTAGGGCCTACCATGACCATGAGCCTGCTGTTTTTTGAGGTTCTTACGATAAGCCCGAAGATGAGATCTACAGGGACCCTCAAAAAGTAGGTCTTTGGGGTTTAGAGTTTAGGGTTTAGGGTTTAGGGAAAAAAAGTAGGTCTTTGGTAGGTTGAGGTAAGCCTCAATGGTACCCAAGCCCCACAGCGAGGCTGGATGCCATTTCGGGTGCAGGGACTGGTCCGACTGAGTCTCTAAACTGGAGACTTCAGCGCGTTACATAGTATAGGATCTGAAAAATGGGAAACTCCAGAAAAAGGGTCTGCTTTGATTTTCAACGAAATTCCCTGCCTGTCTTATTTAAGGTAATGTCTTTGCTATGTGGCTAGTTTCAGGGATCCAAAGGGCGGCTCGCAGTACAGAGAGCCCTAGCCAAAACCCCTAAGCCCTAAACATCCCTAAACCCTAAACCCTAAGCTCTAGACTCTAAGCCCTAAGCCCTAAGCCCCAAACCCTAAGCGATCCGAAACTGTCGGAGAGCCGGTGAGGTGAGGTGGTGCGCGCTGAGCTGTGCGAGGCGGCTTCGGAGTTCGATGTGTGTGGGTGTATTTTTGGTTTTTCAGGGGTTTAGGGTTCCTTTAAAAGGATCCGTTTAAGGGATCCTAAAAGGGATCTAATTATAAGGGTTCTATAGGAGTTTAGGGGTTTGGGGTTTAAGGTGTAGTGTTTTGGGGTTTACGAGCTTAGGGTTTTGCGGTTTGAGGGTTCAGTTTATAGTTTCGATGTAGACTCGTAGACGGGGCCTTTTGTAAAGTTGTTTCTTTCTTGGGATTCCTGCAAGGCTTTGTGTCCTAAAGGGTTTAGGATTCAGAGTTGAGGATGTGGGTGGTAAACGCTATAAACCCTGAACCCTAAACCGAAACCCTAGACACCCAAAATTCTAAGCTTTCGGCTGATGGCGTGTGCACGCGACAAGTCCCAATCGCTGGATCCGGATCATCTACTTTGGGCTAAGGGCTTCTAAACGATTCTAAACCCTAAACCTGATTTTGTGTTTTTTCTAGGATGCCCAGTAGTACCCATATTCCCTTTTTGCAGTCCTAGGTTCCTTATAAAGTTACCCAATACCAAAAAGAGAGGCCTTTTTATTCTTAGGTTACTGGGTATCCTAGTTTTTGAAGTCAAGGCCTTAGGAAACCCAGAGCTTTTGGGGGAGAGGGCTTGAAGTTGAAGTTTTAACCTTGGGATCCAAAGACCTACTGTTTTAAGGGTTACACTCTTCCCAGAGCCCCCAAAACCCCTTAATTAAGGAATAGACCTTAAACTATAATAGGGATCCTACTATGATTTAAGGTATGTTCCTTAATTAGGGGGTTTTGGAGGCTCTGGGTTGTTAAGGGGCCATAACCTACTATTCTACAGGGGTTTAGGGATACAGGAAGGTTCTACTGGAAGCTGGTAAGGTTCTAGGAGGTACATGGTTGAGTTTTAGGGGTTTCAGGGTTTAGGGTTTAGGAGTTTGGGGTTCGTTTTGGTTTCAATTCATTTTTAGGGGTTCAGGTTCCAAGCCTTATGGTTCAGGGCTTGAGGAGCAGGCTTACGGTGTTTGGGGGCTTTACGGGTGTAGCTTTATTTGTTTGTTGTTTATGCAAGCCGTGCCCGATGTTGCTTTGGCGTATACTCCAATACTAGCAGTGCTGTTGTTTTTGTCTTCAGTATTTGTTGTCCAACTATGCCCACCTGTGCCACCTGCGCCTACATGTACTCGGTTTATACTTTCGAGCAGCTCGATGGCTCTTGGATCTGCTCCCTGCCACCACGACTCACAGACATGACTCAGAGCCTCGCCATCACTCTCCAAAGGGGAAAACGCACGTGCGGTCCTCCGCCGCCTGCCTCAGGGCGGGGAGGAGGCCTCCCCCTTTGCCGCACCCTGAAACGCCGAGTGCCCAGCCTCCCTATCGCAGCGCCTTCCCTATACTGCCCGACCTGTCTGGTGCGCCCTTTCCTGCCTTCCTTACCCTCCGCCGCTCTGGTTTAGGTTCTCGGTTCTAGTCCCCTTTTAGGGCTTGGTTGCCGCTTTCGTGCCAAGTATCCGCCATAAGTGCTGATACCGCCTGAGTAGTCCGCTCGGCTAGTTTTGTGACGTTGCTCTTAAACCCAGCTCGTCGCTGTTGCGTCCGCCATACGAGCCGACGTTCATCGTCCGCCATACGTACCAGGATAGGGTCCTTCTAATCAATGGTCAGACAGTTAGAGTGTCATCAATCTGACAGCGAAGTCCTTGCCTCAGATAGGTTATGCATCAGCAGCAAGGAGCGCGCGGAAGGGTAGGGTAAGTTTACAAAGGGCTGATGTACTGCCACTATCAACCTTATACTACACCCGAAATAATCCATAAATCTGCGCCCTCCGAGGGCATCCTTCGGAGGACGTGCTCTTGGGCACCCTTGCTGCTTGGTGATGCCGCGACTGGACGGCAACGTGCGCAGAGAGGCGCGACCAGTGCGACCAGAGTGCAGAAACTGCGCACAGCTGCAGGCGGAAAACCGCCGCCTTCAAAGACAGCTCATCGAAGCGCTGGCAGAGAATGCTGTCTTGAAGACGCAGGTCGCCTGGCCCGGAATGGCGCAGTCGGACTACATGCTGACCTCAACAACGTGGCCCACACGCCAAACCTGCCCATCCCATCTGCAGCCGGTGTCGCTGGCAGAGCGGCTGCCCGAGTTGCGACCCGAACAAGGCCCCCAGGCAGGTACTATGTCCGCAGAGAACCTCTCCAACTGTGAGGGCGGCCACTTGTTTGCGTTGCATGACGAAGGCAGCTATATGCTGGACACCCATGGCCCCCGTGGCTATGTACATCCCGTCACCCTACCCTTTCTCAGAAACCTTAAGGACGCCTTTGTAGAACCTCGTGGTAGAACCCGTGCAGCACCCTGTACTACACACAATATTCCAGTAACGATTCGCAGAACCCCTGCCGATCCCTACTATGAGCCCATGCCTCGATCCTCAACCCTCAACCCTAAAGCCCAAAACCCAAGCTTGAACCTTAAACCCCAAGCCGCAAGCCCTAGACTTCAAGGCCCCCAAACTCAAAGCTTGAAGCCCAAACCCTAGGCCGTAAACCCAGGCAAGACTTGAACCCAAACCTTATACCCACGACTTTAAACCCTAGGACCGAAGATTTTCAATCCCGAATCCTAAACCCAAATTAAACCTTAAAGCCCAAAACCTTATTTAACCCCAAGCCCAGACCCTTGAACCCCAAGCCCGAATCCCTAAGCTTGAATCCAAACCCCAAGCCCAAACCCTAAAGACCTAAACCCTCAACCCTACACCCCAACACCCTAAATCCTCAAACTCTAAGCCCCTAAACCCCTAAACCCTAAACCCCTAAACCCCTAAACCCGAAGCTCAAACCCTAAAGGCCTGAACCCTAGACCTCTAAACCCCTAAACCCGAAGCTCAAACCCTAAAGACCTAAACCCTATAAACCCCTAAACCCTAAACCCCTAAACCCCTAAACCCGAAGCTCAAACCCTAAAGACCTGAACCCTAAACCCTAAACCCCTAAACGCCTAAACCCGAAGCTCAAACCCTAAAGACCTGAACCCTCAATCCTACACCCCAACACCCTAAATCCTCAAACTCTAAGCCCCTAAACCCCTAAACCCCTAAACCCGAAGCTCAAACCCTAAAGGCCTGAAGCCTCGACCTCTAAACCCCTAAACCCGAAGCTCAAACCCTAAAGACCTAAACCCTATAAACCCTAAACCCTAAACCCCTAAACCCCTAAACCCGAAGCTCAAACCCTAAAGACCTGAACCCTAAACCCTAAACCCCTAAACGCCTAGACCCGAAGCTCAAACCCTAAAGACCTGAACCCTAAACCCTAAACCCCTAAACCCGAAGCTCAAACCCTAAAGACCTGAACCCTAAACCCCTAAACCCTAAACCCCTAAACCTAAACCCTAAGCTCAAACCCTAAAGACCTACAGCCTCCTTGCAGCTCGCTGCGCACCGCGCAGACGAACAGCGGCAAGACCTCTCTGCCAGCCTCCCTGTGTTCCTTTCAGGGCACTATAGGGTTCCTTTAAGGGCACTATAGGGTTCCTTCAAGGGCACTATATAGGGCTCCTTTGAGGGCACTATAGGGTTCCTGCTCTAGGGTTCTTTAAGGCTTTAGGGGTTCATATTGGGTTTGGGATTTGGTTATAGGGTTCTATAGCAGGGTTCCCTAAAATGCGCCGACAGGGTTCGTAAATAGGGCTCCTTTAAAAGAGGCTTAGAGGGTTCCTTAAAGGGCTTTCATGTTTAGGGCTTTAGTGGTTCATATTGGGCTTTGGGATTTAGGGGTTTAGGGTGTAAGGGTATGGGGTGTAGGGGTTTAGAGGTTGAGGGTGTAAGGGTTGAGGGGTTTTGGGGTTTTGGGGTTTAGGGGTTCAGGGTTCAGGGGTTTAGGGTTTGTAAGGTCTTTGCGGATTCGATGGGGTCCTAAAGAGGGTACGACAGGGTTCCAGAGGGTTCTATGGGGTTTTGGAGGGCAGTTCTACCAGTGGTTTCAGAGGGCTCTAGAGGATCTCAGATGGCTCTACAACTGTTCGACGATTCTACGGGGTTTTGGAGGGTGTTCAAGTTCAATATCCTAATTGGGTTCAAGGCTTTGGGTTTATAGTGTTGAGGGCTTGGGTTTACGTTTTAGGGCCAGGGTTTTAGGGTTCGAGGTTTGGAATTTAGTGTTTGGGGGTTTATGGTTAAAACTCAGGTATTACCTCAAAGTGTAGATGTTGTTGCAGAGATTTAGAACTTTAGGGGCACCACGTTGCAACTGGACTGTGTATGAATGCGTCGATATCATGACGGCCGGCCGACACCCATGTTCATCGAAGAGGCGGAGGTGCAGGAGAATCGCGGGTTTTCCAACCCTCATGGTCAGCATCCCGTGCCTGGCATGCGCACGATGTCGCGGAATTCGATCGGAACATGCATTTAACGCAATACCGCCATTTTCGTTCCAAAGGCGGCCGTAGGAATTCGTTTCCTGGCGCCATATTTGGAAAGTCGTGCAACCGTTTGACCTCCAGGTGGCGACATCCCTCATTTTCGAGCGGCGGGCCGGTGCTGGAGGTAATTGAACTGCTGCACTTTTTCGCGAGTTGTTTGTTGACTGTCTCATTGAGGGTGATGAGACATGTGCTGCCTTCAGCTAGTAGGAGTAAGAGAAGGCGTACGAGCAGGAGTAGGCAGGAGTAGGTGTAGGAGTAGGAGGAGTAGCCAGTAGCAGCAGCAGCAGTAGCAGCAGCAGGAGCAGTAGCAGTGGCAGTATCAGATGGAGTAGCAGCAGCAGCAGTAGCAGCAGCCGTAGCCGTAGCAGTAGCAGTAGCAGTAGCAGTAGCAGTAGCAGTAGCAGTGGTCCCAGCTCTATTGGGTGGTCGCCCGATTTTCAAGGTCATCGAATGAAGGAGCGTTGCAAAAGTCACGACAATGGCTGACGGCATGGCCGGGGCTGAGGATCCATTGGTTTTCAGACCCTGAACCTCCAAACTCCTAAACGTTCTTAAACCAGAACCCAAATAAACCCCTTACACCCTAAACCTTAAATCCTGGTCCTAAACCCCATATAGCCTAAACCCTAGCAAATAAACGCTAAGCCCTAAACCCCTACAGCCTAAACCCTAAATCCCTAAATCCCGAAACTACTAACCCCTAAACCCTAAACCCAAAGCCAAAACCCTAAGCCCTAAACCCTCTGGTGTCTTCGTGAAACCAGACTGGGACTTTGAAGACTTGTTATATAGGTGGTCAACGTGACGTCCTGAGGGTAAGCCTTCTTAGGGGTGACAGACGACAGACTTCTGCAGAGAGAAAGTCCGATACCCTTAAAAAAACCCTAAACCCTAAGCCCCTGTTACAAGAAGTCTCCAAGGCTTCCATGGAGCAGCTCGAAGAGCGAGTTCGCCTGCTCGAGGTGGAAACGCCCAGAGTTGAGCTCTTTTTTGCTAGGGGGCGAAGGGGGGCGGGCGGGGGGGGTGTTCGGGTTGAGGGTTTAGCGTTTTCAGGGTTTTGGGGTTTAGGGTCTAGGGTTTTTAGTTTTTGTGTTTGCATTGTTTAGGGTTTAAGGTGTCCAGGGTTTAAGGTCTAGGTTGTCTTTCGGATTGAGGGTTTCGTTTCCTTTTTGAGTTAGGGCTTAAGGTAGGGTGTAGGGTTTACTGGATTTAGGAAATTTAGGGTTGGTGGGGATGCTTTTACTCTTTGCACGCTTCTTCTTAGCATTCAGTGAGTACGATTATTCATGCGTTTCTCTCGGTACAACTGGAGTAACATGAAGCCTTGCCCCCAACACTCAGCCGCGACTTAGGCATCTCTGTTTAACAGCTACACAGGTGTTTTATGGGCTTTCGTTCTGCCTTCGTCCGTAAAATTTTACGCTTGTCATGCAAACGATCGGGTCGAAACTGAGAAGCTGTGGCTTTGGGGTCCAATTTTAAATCATTCCTAAGAGCAAGAACCACCAGCACCCTAGGTGTACGGTGTCCATGTCTTGCTGCCTGCAGGGGAAATCGGCACAGGTGGACCGGGATAGGACGGAGGCAGGGCACAACTCTATGCCGTTGGCAAGGATTTGAGGTAGGGTGTCGCAACTCTGAGCCCATCCCTTGTATCGGGTAGGTGTTCTGGTTTGAGTCATAGGAGGCCAAAAGAGGTTTTAGCCTATGGGGGTTTAGTAGGGATTAGGCTTCCCAGAATAGGGTTCATAATTAAGGAATCCCTACCCCAAGAGTCTTAACCCCCCTTTGGCCTCCCATCTAGGTTCCTGCGTGGTACCCTTTTGCCCTTTTTGGTTTAGGGTACCCGTATGAAAACCGAACAGTAGGAAAAAGGGCACCCTTTGGGTACGGCCCCCACTCAGCAATAGTTGAATGAAACTCATAACATAGATATACTAGGACCGTAATAGTAGCCCTATTATAGACTCTTATTGTATGGGGGCAGTACCTAAGGTACCCTTATTATACAGGAGCTACTCCGGAACCTTGGGATTTCGGAGTTTTGGGGGCTAGGAATTCAGGAGTGCAGGCAGTGTAGGATTTTGGGGTTGATGGTTCGGATTTCAGAACTCAGGACTTTACGGGCGAGGGATTTTAGGTTCGTTGTGGCTTTCGGGGTTTAGGTTTTTAAGGCGTAGGTTTAGGACGTTAGTGTCTTGGGGTTTGCGCCTTTGGTGTGACATGGTGTGATAGGGATCTCGGTGCGCAGAAGGAAAACACCCTAAAAGGCCAGGAGTGCTGGTCCAAACGGTAGGAACATGCCGTGATCGCGTGTGAAACTCGAAGAAGGACGATGACAGCGACAAAGATATCGACAGAGCGGGGTGGCAGCGGTCCTACCTCGGCATTCTCAGGAAGCTCCACGATCGTGGATTGCTAGACCACTTCACCCGCTGAGGGGTGGAAAAAAATCCGTGGGCCGTGCGTGGTTGCCCCACTGGATCCCCTGGGTTTCGGATGGCCCTCCCACCTCCACCTAAGACTTCAGGGCACCTTAACCCATTTCTGCCGAAGGAGTGCCAATCAAGAGCCTTGCATGCCCGTGCCTGGCTGGTTGTGTGCTCCCGACGTCTGTCACATGTGGTCTCTGTGGTGGAGCTGTTCATTTGTCGAAACAAGGTTGCATCATCTTCGGCTGAGTGGCAAACCTGGCCCCCCGGCCTTAATCCCCCGAACCCTACGAATATCTTAAGTACCCTAAACCCTAAACCCTAACCCCCAAACCCTAAACCCTGAACCCTAAACCCTCCCAAGCCGAAGCTCCGCGGGGCTGGAAGCATCCACGACCGTGCAATCCCAAAGGCTCCATGTACCATCATGGTAGATACTTAAGCCTTAAAGTGGTCCCTAAAAAGGTACTTTAACGACTAAGCATCTAGGACCCGGAGCAGGCCCTTATTCCCTTTTTTAGGGTTCTGGTTCCCTTACTAAGCCCCTTTAAACCAAAAAGGGCACCCTTTTTATTACTAGGTTACTCTTGGGTCTAGGTATAGATCAGGGTAGTACCATCATGGTAGATACTTAAGCCTTAAAGGGGTCCCTAAAAAGGTATATACTGTAACGACTAAGTGTAGATCAGGGTAGTTACAAGGAACCTTAGGGATTCCTGTTGCCAGGGCGACCTTCTCGCGTCCCGGGTGTCCACGCTTGAGGCGGAAGCTGCAAAAGCGTTTAGGCTCCTTTGAGGCTTCTACAGTATAAGAGTATCTAAAAGGGTTTAGGTTCCTTTAAGGGTTCTACAATACCAGGGTATCTAAAAGGGTTCAGGGTTTTAGGATTGAGGGGTTTAGGGGTTCAGGGCTCAGGTTAGGGTTTAGGGATTTGGGCCCAGGCCCAGGATTTACAGGTTTAGAGTTGCAGGGTTTCTAGGGCTCGAACCCTAGCATAGAGCTTCAAGGCTTTGCTATTTTTCGGGCTTTTGGCCGTTTATGATTTGGGAGTTTCCGAAAATTCGGGGTACAGTATTTTGGTTTTTTTTATACGGATCCTACTATTTAGGGTACTGTATTAAATTCCCTAGGGTACTATACAAGGATCCTCCCCCAACCCAGAGACTCCAAGATCCCTTAATGAACACCTAGGGTTCCTTCAGGGTCCCACATTTTCGGAAAACTCCATTTAGAGAAGTGGCCCCAGGATTGAGAGCAACTCAACCAGAGCCTTTGGGGCCCTGATGGTCAGTGATACCTACTATTTGTTTAAGAACCCCCAAAAAATTAAAAAAAAAAAAATATAATCCCTATATTACCCCTAGAAGGAATATATTTTGTATTTTTTGGGGGTTCTTAAGCAACTAGTAGATACTAATCCCTGGATGGTTTAGGTTTTATAGGGGTTAGGGGCTCAGGGGTTGATTTTTTTCGGAGGGTGGCGTTTAGGGGTTAGGGGTTTAGGGTTTACCTGTTTAGGGATTAGGTGTTCCCCAAACCCTACAAACCCTAAGCTGTAAACCGGGCGTCTGTAGTAGATGCCTGCGAGATTCACTCGGCAAGCTCTAGACCCAAAGCCCTAAACACCAAACCCAACACTTCTAAAGCCCCTGTGTCCAATGTACGGAACATCATGGAGTCCTTGTGGATCTCTTATAAGCCCAATCTTGAACCTTGTGTGCATCTTATAAACCCCGTTTGGAACGCTTCTAGAGCCCCTTCAATCTGCCCCCAAACCCCAAAACCCCCACTTGCCTTCCCCATGTGGATTGTCCATGCTGGCAGATGGAAAAGAGGCCCCTAAAAAAGGCCCCCTAAATTCTATAGACCCTAAACCTAAACCCTAAACCCCAAACCCCAAACCCTATAGACCCTAAACCCCAAACCCACAAACCCCAAACCCTAAAGCCTAAACCCCTTTGACAAGGCTTCTAGAGGGTTTTCAATGTGCGAAGCAGCCCCCATAGACCCTAAACCCTAAACCCTAAACCCCGAACCCCATAAACCCTAATCCCCAAACCCCAAACCTCATAAACCCTAAACCCTCACCCCTTTTAGAAGGCTCCCCTCTATGTACGAAGCAGCCCCCATAGACCCTAAACCCTAAACCCCGAACCCCAAAAAGCCTAAACCCTAAACCCCGAACCCCATACTAAACCCTAATCCCCAAACCCTAAACCCCATAAACCCTAAACCCTCACCCCTTTTAGAAGGCTCCCTTCAATGTACGAAGCAGCCCCCATAGACCCTAAACCCTAAACCCCGAACCCCAAAAAGCCTAAACCCTAAACCCCGAACCCCATATATCCTAAACCCTAAACCCCGAACCCCATACTAAACCCTAATCACTAATCCCCAAACCCCATAAACCCTAAACCCTCACCCCTTTTAGAAGGCTCCCTTCAATGTACGAAGCAGCAGGCCCAGAGTGAGGAGGCCGCACGCCGGCTGGAGGCCTTGGGCTACGTCCTCAAGGAGGCGGGCGGCAAACAGGAGGGGCCAAAGGGTCAAAACTAGGGGTTTCGGGTTTAGGGTTTATAGGGTTTAGGGGTTTATTGGGGTTTTAAGGGTTTATAGGGTTTAGGGGTTTATTGTGGTTTTAAGGGTTTAGGGTTTAATTATCGGGGTTGAGGGCTTAGGGAGTTAGGGGTTTAGGGTTTAGGGTTTCAAAGCGTCAAAACTGGGGGTTTATAGCGCGGATCCTGCTGTTTGGAGGTTTGTAGCACCGGTTTGGGGGTTTGGAGGTTGTGGGGTTTGCAGAACCCAGAGACGCAAATATCCCTCAATTAAGGGATATTCCGTACACCATGTTAGGGATCCTACTATAACTTCAGGTATATTCCTTAATTAAGGGATATTCGAGTCTCTGGGAATTGTCCTGAGGCCTAAGGTTGACATTACTCACAAGGAGCGTTTAGGGGGGTAGGGGAGTATACTTCCTTAAATAGGCCGTATTAGGTCCTTATTATGTATTGTGGCCCCGTACCCTTATGAATGAATTGTTGCACGCGTATTTTGATATTTCTCGCACATTATCTCCCTTTCTCTGCGGAGTCGGAAGTAGTCGCAGGGTGTTGGGGCCCTTTATACTACACTTATAATAAGGAATCCCCCCAAAAAATGGTAAAGGTAATGATTTAGGAATCTTTAGGAAGATAAAGTAAAAGCCAGAAAGTTGGAATATGATTATCCTAACCCTTCTATGGCAAATTATAGAGTATCCTACCATGAAACCATATTCCTACTTTCTGGAGTTCCCTGTAGTGTGCTAGATGTTTGTTTGTTCGAGAGTAGCTGCAAGGCAATGGCTGGGGTCGGCCTGCCAGGGTGGCGGGTAATATGGGGGCTTAACTAGCAACCCTATAGATGCCTTATAAGATCCCTTAAAGGAGCTCCAGGTATTCCTCAATTCAGGGATTTCGGAGTCTCTGGGAATACTGTTGATGGACAAAATCCTGCAGTACCCATTGTCAGGAATATTAGGGGTACCTTACTTTGGGGTCCTTGTAATAAGGATCCTACTATTTGGGGTACTATACTAGGGTTGATGATAAAAATCCTGCATTACCCATTATAAGGAATATACCATACTTCCCATAGTTTAGCGTCCTTAGGGTCATGCAGGATTTTGTCCATCAGCAGTATGGGCCCTAAACCCTATACCCTAAACCCTAAACCGTGGCTCTGCAGTTACTAATCCTAGATAGCGATCGGGGGAACTTCAAACTTTGCGCCCTTATATCTTCGCTCTATCTTCGAAAGATTGAACTTTTGGTGGCCCGGTTGTTGAAGAAGAGAGTAATCCTGTTTTGGGGTTCCTTACTGTAGTATGGTTGAATTAGTATACCCCGCAACCCTATTCAAATTAAACAAGGCCCTATGTTAGTTACGTAGCCAGTTCGACGAGGGGCCAAGCCATGTTTGGATTTCTCGCAAGTTCGGGCATGTGCCAGTCGTACTGACATGAACAGCAGGTTAATACTTGTAGCTTCCTATGCCTACACAGCTCCATAGCTGCTTTGAGCCATAAACCCTTTTTAGGTTGATTCGGTTGTGCAGGATCCAAGATGTCGTTCATCATCGGGGCCGAATCTCTGGTTTTAAGGTCTTTGTACCAGGGCGTTGGGCTTTGAGGGCTATTTTTGAGGGGTGGCTACAGAGGGTTTCGCATGCCTTACAAGGACTGACACTCAGCACGGGGTTGATAGGGGCCGGTACATTGCGTCTTGAAGTTAGCCCCTTGTGGTGCAGGCAAAAGACATGGAGACGCGAGCCACCGCCGCAGCGGCGGAGGTGCGCAATAGTGAGGTGTTGAAGAACATTCTTGTTATCCTAGAACGTACCCAACCCGCTTGCGCACCAAAAGCCCGCCTACACCTGCAAGCTCTGAGCTCAAAGCCTTAAACCCTTTAACCCGAAAGCCGGAACCCTGCCCCGTAAACCCAGTGTAAATGCAGCCTCAATAAGTGATGCCGCTAACATCCCTCAATATATGCCCTCATAGAGTCAGGCTTAAGGTCTGCGAACTACCGCTGCCCTGAGACCAACCGCAAGCTTTGGGTATATGGGGTTTCAATCTTCGGGCTTCAATTTGTTTCAAGGACATATACTTGGAGGTTCATGGGTAGTTATAAGTAGGGTTATAAGTAGGGTAACTGTATAAACTTATAACCCATACTAGGGGACTTATAACCCTACTTATAACTACTCATGAACCTCCAAGTAGGGTTTAGGGCTTAGAGTTTGGGTGTTGGGCCGTTTAGGGTGTTGTAGCCTCGTTGCCAGTGAAACTTTCGGGAGACGCCCTTGAGCAACTGCTCTCCCCCCACGACTAGGAAATATCTGTTTATCTCGCCTATTCTATTTCGCATGTGCTCATTAAGCTCATAGTTCTATAAACAGTTTGTGTTTTAGGGCCGCCCTTCGTTCAGGTGCAGCGCGTGGCGGAGGCTGCTGTGCTGGCAGCACATGACGAGGCCAACTCCAGGTTCCTGAGTGGTACCCTTTTGCCCTTTTTGGTTAAGAGTCCCCTTACTAACGAGGATGCCCAGTAGTACCCTTACTTATTCCCTTTTTGTAGTCCTAGGTTCCTTATAAAGTTACCCAATACCAAAACGGGAGCCCGGTTTATTCCTAGGTTACTGGGCATCCTAGTTAAAACCGAATAGTTGGAAAAAGGGTAATTACCCTGATCATACAGGGGCTACTCAGGAACCTAGAACCTCTAGTTCCGAAGATGCCAACATCGCTTGCTTTTCGATCCAACTTCTGGGCTCGGGTTTCGGGGTTTAGGGTTCAAGATCCAGGATTACGTTGCCCCTTCCATGAGGCTTGGTTTTGAGTCTGCTTGCGTTCGAGAAGGCAGACTTCGCCGTTCAAAGCGTTCAAAGCGTTTAGGGTTTACCCAGAGGCCCCATAGCCTTTTTGGGGTTACCTTCTAGGATTCTAGCTCCTTTGAAGGGATCTGATCTATAAGGGCTCTATAAACGGCTTTGGGTTTAGGGTTTCGTTAAAGGGTTCTTTTTCGAGGCGTCTACAACGGTTACTTTCAGGGTTCTATGGTCTGGGGGCCTTAAAGGGTTGTAGGGTTTAGGGCTTGGGGCTTAGGGATCAGAGTTAAGGGACTACAGGGTTTCAGGATTGGGGTTTAGGATTAGGGTTTAGGGCTTGGGGCTTAGGGATCAGGGTTAATAAGGGTTTAGGAATTGGGGTGTCAGGCCGGGTCTAGGGTTTAGGGGTCGGGGTTTAGGGAGCAGGGTTTAGGCTTTAGGAGTTGGGGTTCACGGTTTAGGGTTTGGGATGAGAGTTTGGGGGGTTTGTATTTAGGGATCAGGGTTTAGGGATCAAGGTTTACTAGGTAGGGCTTTGGGACATTTTATATTTTCTCTTATTGGGCTTAAGAGGATCTTACCTACTAATATTTTTCAAGGCTTCAAAAGCCCCTCCTAGTTTAGAGGATAGGGTTCAAGGATTAGATGATTAGTGTCCTAGGGCTTGGGGACCCGAGTTTACCCAGAGGTTCCTTTTCGGATTACCTTATAGGAGTCTATATATGAACCCCAAAGAGGAACTACTATGGGGCCTCTGGGTAGGTTTTAGGGGAGTGTGTCGCTATCAAGCCCGAAGGCTCGCAACCTTAATTCCCAATCGACTAAAAGTCGTAACTCAGAGCCCTTACAGAGACCTCTGAAGCCCTTTAAAGGAGCCTTAGTTAAAGGTTCAGAAACCGTAAATCCCTGATCCAATCGCTAAACCCGACAGAAACTGTAAACCTGTTGAGTACTCTCCCTTGCTCTTAGTGGGAATTGGGGGAAGGAAGGGACCTTAAGAGACTGTCATAGGCGATCCCCAAATCCGTAAACCCTACACCCAAACCCTTAATCCCTAAATTCTGAAACCGTAAATCCAGTAACCCTGAATCCAATAACCCTGAATCCCTAATTTCCTTAAATTCCTTATCCTTAAGCCCTTAAGGTACCCTTATAGAACCCTTACAGGGATCCCTCACAGGAGCCCTATGTTATTCATTATACTGCCCCTTTTATTATAGTACCACTATAGAACCCTTGCAAGGATCCCTTACAGGAGCCCTATTTTATTTATTGCTGCCTCTACATTATATTTTTGTACCATTTTCGATCCCTTGCAAGGATCCCATAAAGGCCTAGACCCATGGGCAGGTCTTGCAGCTCCTCGGTGACGGTCGAAGGGGGGAGGCGCTGTGCAGGTCTAGGGTTTAGGGTTTGGAGTAGGGTTCTGTCCAGGGTTTATTGGGCGCTCACAGGGTCTTCAACAATTAAGAATGATGTTGGTAGGATGAAAATTGTGCGGCGTTTAATTAATCTGTAGCATTAAGATTCTATAATTGTGGTTAAGCTTTTCTGCATCAGGTTTTTGTCATAAAGTTGTCTATGATGTTTTGGGGGCCGTTGCGCAGGATTGGCCGTCGTCTTATTATCTGCGGAGCCCACGGGCCCTTCCAGGTTTCCGGGTTGACTAGGGACCCCAAAAGGACATAAGCATAAGCATTTTATAGGGATCCCTACCTTGTTGCGCTTCATTATAATGGGGTTTATAATGGTACATCGCTTTCCTTAATTTTTGCTTTTGTGCTGCGTGGGGGCCCTAGTTGAGGGAGTTTTGGCCGACAGGCGACAGCAAAAGATAGCGAAGCCCCACATGGGTGGTTGTCAACATTCTGGTCCCTTTCTGGGTCCCTATTATAAAACGGCACCTATCATTTCGGGTACCCAACAGGGGACCATAATTCTGACAGCTACCCACATGCTAAACCCTAAACCCTGAAGATTTCTATCAAAAGTATTTTGGCAGCTCTGGTAAACCTACCTCTGTGGGTTGGTTGAAGTTAGGGTTACAGTAGAAGCCAGAAAGTTGGAATATCATTATCGTAACCCCTTTAAGGTAAATTATAGGGGATCCTACCATTAATCCATATTCCAACTTTCTGGAGTTCCCTTTAAGTTAGTGTTGGGGCTTCGGGTTCGGGGTTTGAATTTGAGGGGTTGGGGTGTATATAGGAGTTTCCGAAAAGAAGGGGTACCTTATTTTGGGGGTCCTTATAATAAGGAGCCTACTATTTAGGGTACTATAGTCGGGTCCCTTATTTTCGGAAACTCCCATATAGGCTGAAGGAATGTTTCGGGTAAGGTGGGTTCCGAACACTGTCGTTTCGTCATCTTCCGGGTTGCTCCGGCCGGAATATAATCCCAGTTACTGATAAATGCCTCGATAGTTCACGCAGAGTAGGTCGGCATCGCAGTTGTGGCAGCCTCAGTGGCAGTACAAGGCTTAGGTTGTGGGATTAGGGCAAGCGTAGGGCGCAAAGGGGTAAAACAGGACGAACATGGGAGCGATAGCTGATAGCAGTAGCACTCACAACAACAACAACAACTTGCGGCCCAAGCGACAGACCCGAAGCCCAAGAACACTAGGGAGAACCGGACCAAAGTATCGAAGTGTGCCGGCACGGCGTCCCAACAGGGAAGGCACCTCATCCTCGAAGCTGCGTCTAGGGTTTGGGGTTTTAAGAGCTGAGGGTTAGGGGTTACCTATAGTCTCCATTGTAGTTCCTTTTTGGGTTTACCTTTTAGGATCTTTAATATAAAAATTGGTTAAACCAAAAAAAGGAACTACAATGGATACTATAGGTAGGGCTCAGGGTTTAGCATTTAGGGTTTAACCCTAGGACCCGAAACGCCTCACAGAACCTCAGCCGTAGCCGTGGACCCTGAAGCCGAAATTGGCCTAAACCCTAAACTAAACTCGCATAGATCCACCCGAACGACAGTATCCACCCTGGAACGATCCTTTCGTCAAGGGAAGATCAGTCCAATCGACAGAAGAAACTTGTGGAACTACTAGAAGGCTAGGGCAACGGAAGCTGGGCTTTGCAGTACCCTACTTTAATACTTTTTTGGAGACCTGTTGCTTATAAAAGGAACCATTATGACATAACAGTTTATACTTTTTCTCCCTGGTTACTTCAACGCCCAGGAAGCCAAACATGCTTTCAGAGAGATTCCCTTTGTGGGGGTTGTTAGGTCGTGCGGGAGTAAGCGATGCATCCGTATGAGACCTTTTTAACACGCTTAGATTACAATCTATAGCAAAGCTCTTAGAAGCCCGTAGCCAAGCCCTCATGAATATAATGCCTGTAGACAACCCGATAAACAACCGCCTTCAGAACACTCGTAGCAAACCCTGAAGACACCATCATGAGGCCATTTGACAGTCCGTGCCAAACCTTCGCAGCGCCCTCAGAAAACCCTCACAAAGCCTTCATAACAGCCTGTAAAGCCTTATACATCCCTTCTAATTAACCCCCTAATTAAAATCATCCCTAAACCCCAAACCCTTGCCTTTTCAGGAAACCTCCTAAGCTGGGAAAAATCCAAAACCCTAAACCCCCTTAGGAATTCCTGGTATTTCTACTGTATTCGCAGTCGGAAAAGGAAGGGCCCTGTAAAACACGCCTCAACCCTAAACCCTAAACCCTGGAAACATGCCCTTAAAAAGAACGAAACCCTAAACCCTGGAAAAGTGCCCTTAAAAAACAAGTAAGCCCTAAACCCTAAACCAAAAAACAAGGCCCTACAGGAAGCCGTTGCGGCCAGGATGTGCCGATGGTCCGCATCGCTCCGACTCTGGGGGAGCAGTCCACGCGGAGCTTTCAAAATGCCGGAAGTGCTCATATGGTAGTTTTCGAAAACTAGGGGTGCCTTATTATGGGGTCCTTACAATAAGGATCCTACTATTTAGGGTACTATATTAGGCTCATGGAGGGGCCTTAATAATCCGTGTTCAGGGTTCCTTTCCTAGAGGGTCAATACATACTACCATTATGGAATTTATACATTATGGAATTTATAGGGTATATGGGGTTTCAATCTTCGGGCTTCAGTTTGTTTCAAGCACATTTGGGTGGTTGTCAAAACTAGGGTCCCGTATTGGGTCCTCAATATAAGACGGCACCGAATATTTAGGGTACCCAAAAGGGATCAAAATTTCGACAACCACCCATATAGGGGCCTTAATAGTAATTAGGGTTTGGGGTTCCTTTTGAAAGGGGTCGGGTTCTGTGAGGGTATTATACTTAAGGGGCCACCTATACTGTATTGTGGGTGTTCCGTACTATAATTATAGCATACTGCGCCCAAAACCCTACTCCAATTCTTACTTAAGGCTCCTACCCAGACCCCCGGGAGGATCCAAAAAGTAGATCCCTTAATGGGGGTTCCTATAAAGTACCCTTAGTGGTATAAGGCCCCAAATTAGGGGATCTACTTTCTAGATCCTCCCGGTTGTCTGGGCATATTACTTAGTGGAGGGTTTGGGGGTTGAAGTTCCTGTAAGGGTTAAGGGTTTAGGATTCCTTCAAGGGTTCTATAAGAGTTCAGGGTTTTAGGGTTCGGGGCTTGGGGTTGAGGGTTTAGTGTTGGGGGTTTGATTGCAGTATTTGGGGTACTAGAAGACGTAGTGCAACACATACCCGCCTAGGGTCTAGGGTTTTAGCATAAGTGACATGGCTAAATACTTCGGATTTACAGTAAGCCCCATAGAGTTGGAAACCGGATTAATGCCAAATAGTGCTGGGATTCCCTATACATTAGTCTTAAGGATCGAGGCTATTGGGTTTCCAACTTTTTGGCTTCTACTGTAGTGGTTTCCATTTTTGTGGCCCGAATGGAAGCCTTTAGGCTGTTTAGGCTGTTTAGGGTTTCGGGGTGTGGGGTCGGGAGTTTTGTGTTTGTGGCCTTGTAGTTCCAGTTTTGGCCTTTAGAATCTGCAGCCTCTCCCCGAAACCCTTGCCCTGACGTCCCAAGACCCGAAAACCTCAACTCTCCCGTCCTGAATCCTATCCGCTAGCAGGGTGGTAGTAGTAGTAGTAGTAGTAGTAGTAGTAGTAGTAGTAGTAGCAGTAGCAGTAGTAGTAGTAGTAGTAGTAGTATAGTGGTAGTAGTAGCAGTAGCACCATCAAGCCCTGTAAGGCCCATGCGCCCAAGCCTTCAAAGCCCCAATCCCCAACCGTATACAGCTCCTTTCAAACGCTTTCAGCGCCCAGACTATAATTTTCAGACCCGAAGCTCCTCCCCAAGCTGTGAGCTCGTGAGCTTGTTTCGGAAACCTTCATCGCCCCGTGCTTCTTCTGGCATGTCAGCTTACAGGTTTCATGAGATGGAACAGAAGCACGCCCCAGGTTCCTTCACACTTATGGCCTTAGGCCCCTACCCTGAGCTCTACACCCCCTAAGAACCCTATGTAAGCCCTATATCCCGAAGCAGCGACCCACTGTTAAGGTCCCCATACCTCTCGAAATGGCATCCTTGAGCCCATGACCGAGTCTGCAGTTAAGCCGGCTGAGGGGTTTTAAGCCCAAAGTAACACCCCGAAACCCCAAAACACGAACCCTGAGCTACTAGGGGCCCTGAAGCCCAGAGACTCCAATATCCCTTAATTAAGGAATATACCTTAAATCATATAAGGGATCCTACCATAATTTAAGGAATATTCCTTAATTAAGGGATATTGGAGTCTCTGGGAGCCTAAACCCTGAGCCCCATGCGCTAAAGACCTGAGATCCCCCTTTCCTTTGCTCCCCGGATGACGGATGTTGCTCCAACTCCTCCCGTGGCTGTCCTGCCCTCAGCGGGGCTTTCATAGTGGCGCCTGAAATCGTAGGAATATCATCCTTTAGAGCTCGTCTCAAGGGGGAAGGTTTCCTATAAAGTATAGGGGTGTGTACCCATAGGCCCCATGGTAGTTCCTTTTTGGGGTTCATGTTTAGATTCCCTTTTAGGTAATCCCCCAAAAGGAACTACGACGGGGCCTATGGGTAGGGGTTCATCCAGGAGCCTGATTCATTAGGATCTCTCTTCATTCTTTCTGAGGTGTGTTCCGCATAATTAGTTGTAGCACGGACTATACCAAAGCCCTATCGAATTAAATCTAAAACCCTAAACCCCAAACCCTAAACCCTAAACCCATCTTCGGGGGTTTAAGACTATGCTTTGTGGCTTAAGGGTTTGAGTGGTTAGGGTCCTCGGTCCCTGCGGCTTAGGGTTTAGGGTTTGGGGTTTAGGGTTTAGGGGCTTAAGAGTTACGGATGCCGGGTTTTAGAAGTTCGAGGATGTAGTGCCTGAGGGCTTTACTTCACGCGTGTTGATATTCAAATTGGCCGGCAGTGATGGGGGCCACGATTCCCAAGGATTGGCCTTTGGAGCGTGTTGTCTCCACGAGGGAGGACAGAGGATGCGGGGAGGGCAGGAAACGGATGCCACAGCTGTCGTCTCGGATTCGTGCCTTTGCCCTGTACAGGCGAAGCATTTTGAGCAAACGTGTATTCGAGAGTGCTGAATGAGCGCATGTGCCGATCAGGGGCCCTGGGCAGACAAATCCGGCGAACCTCGCTTCTGCATCGGAGCGAGGAGGACGGTTCGCGTCCAAGATCGATTGCACTCGAGGCAGTCCAGTGCGTGGAGACGGCCACCACACCAATCTCCTTGGCTTCGCCCAGTTGATGCCACTCGTCCGGGCGGTATTGGAGGACGGGATTTATGAGCGGTTTATCTTCTCGTTGCTTGTGTAACTAAGGGGTGCAGGCTCGGTGATTCTGGAATGAGACGACAGCCGATGGAACCCTAGAAATGATATTATGTGGGGCTTGAGCCTTGAGCACGTGCCCAGAAGTCTACAAGTGTTGCGAGAATACTGCGAGGTGTGCGGTGTAGCGTGCCCACTCATTCCTCTAGTCATTGGGCAGTTGACCAGTGACGGCGTCATCAGGGAGATTACGCAATTGATCACCACTGTTGCGACCGGAGATGTTCACGCGTGGTTGCAAGGTAACCCTAAACCCTAAACCTGATTTGAAATCCAAACCTCATTGCCAAAAGTTGAAAGATGGGTCGATGCGGCCTTCCTTGACGCCGACCCAATCTTCACTGAATTTTCTAGCCTTGAAGCCTGAAGCCCGGACCCCCAGAGACCCCAATATCCCTTAATTAAGGAATATACCTTAAATCATATAAGGGATCCTACCATAATTTAAGGAATATTCCTTAATTAAGGGATATTGGAGTCTCTGGGCCCTTAAAATCCTAACGAACTACAGTCTGGGCTTTGGAGTGCCATACTTCAATATTGTTTTCATAATGGAACCATTATGAAACAAAAGTGTATAGTTTTTTCTCCCTGGTTACTTAGAAGCCCAGGGTTTAGGATCTAGGGTTAGAGCCAAACAGCCACAAGCAACCAAGAAGTATGGAATCCCTGAGCAGTCAAACCCCAGCTCAGGAACCCTGCCCTAGAGCCTTAGACACTCCACCCAAGTCAGCAAACCCAAAAGCCCGAAAGCCCCAAAATCTAGACCTAAAGCCCAAAGCTAGAAAAAGGCACTTGGCCCTGAACCCATCAGCAGAGGTAATGTGATATAACAAGCCCTGAGCCCCAAAACTCTGAACGTGTGCTTCTCATGAGGTAGTACTAGATAAATAGTATTACCACTACCATTGCCACCACAACAACAACAGCAACAACAACTACTACTACTACTACTACTACTACTACTACTACTAGTACTACTACGACTACTACGACTAGTACTACTGCTACTACTACTACTACTACTACTACTACTACTACTACTACTACTACTACTACTAACACTACTAACACTACTAACACTACTAACACTACTAACACTACTAACACTACTAACACTACTAACACTACTAACACTACTAACACTACTAACACTACTACTACTACTACTACTACTACTACTACTACTACTACTACTACTACTACTACTACTACTACTACTACTACTACTACTACTACTACTACTACTACTACTACTACTACTACTACTGCTACTACTACAACAACTACTACTACTACTACTACTACTACTACTACTACTACTACTACTACTACTACTACTACTACTACTACTACTACTACTACTACTACTACTACTACTACTACTACTACTACTACTTAGGCTTCAGCAGCAGCCGCGGCCCCGCCACCGCCCCCGGCGGAGAGAGGCCCGGCTTTCAAGCCCCGGGAAATTCGGGCCCAAAAATGACACAAGCATCAGGGGTTCCTTTAAGGGCTCCTGAAGGGTTCATTTATAAGAGGTTCCTCCAAGGGTTGTATAAGGGTGTACGGATCGGGGCCAGGAAGGTCGTGTAAGCTGTCAGTCTTTTGGAGTCTTACGGGCTTCTACGGTTTGCTTAGCAGTTTTAAGCTCAGGTTCAAGATTTCAGGGTTTCAGGCTTATGCGAGCTCATTGGGGTTCAGGTTTCAATTCCGTTCGCTCTTTACAGAGCCCCTGGGATTGTTTCTGGGGTCTGCATTTATTGCCGTGAACTCCTGAACCATTAAACCTCAACTCTTGAACCCCGGGTTGAACCCCAAACGCTGGTACCTTAAGCTCTTAAACTCTAAACCGCCATTCCCTAGGCCCTTGTTCATAGCCCGGAACTCCGTCTAAAAACTTCTGAGCTCCGTCTAAACACCTCTGAGCTCTTTTCCAAAGGCCCCATGAACCCACAACCATCTTCCCAGTTGAACTTAGTAGCTGGGTAGGTAACTTTTATAATCTTTTCGGGTTCATATGGTACTACTGCCATAATTGTAAAGGGTACTCAGCCCCCCAGCACCCTAAGTACCCGAAGTAGCCAAAACCCTAAACCCGAAACCTTAAACCCTGAACCCTTCTCCCTCGGACATGGATGCGGATGCGGGAGATGCCCCTGGTGATGATCATAGCATGGAGGGCGACGTAGTTGACGTTGGAGCGGGTGTTGGCACCGTTGACTGTGGAAGTCAAAGGGGGGAAAATCGAAGGCTTCGAAAGCGAGATCGAGGGCGAGCTGTGAAGGACGAAGAAGATGAGGAAGAAAAGCATCAGGAGGAAAGTCCGAGCAAGAGGGCGAATGCTGATGGGGACGCTCCTCTATCTGCGAGAGAACTTCGTTATCTGCTTCAACAGCACATGTGTGAATTTCGCCAGGCCTGGAGTGGCATTACGGGGCGACTTGATCGTGTTGAACATGCAGCAGAGCAACTTCCCACCTTTCAGGGGCGACTTCAAGTTGTGGAGAAAGACAACGTGGTACAACAACAACAGTTGCATGTACATGAAGAGAAGATCAAGGGCTTGGAGAACGACCTTGAGACGATCAAGCAAACCATCAACGACAACAAGCGCGACCAGGCAAGTGGATCCAACCAAGGGCAACCCCTGCAAGAACAGCGTGGTCAAGACGGATGGAGAAATGGAAATGACCCTTGGGCGAGGTTCATCAATCATCAACAGCAACGAGGACGTGAAGGATTGGATGGATGGCATGGAGCCAGTGGTGGACATGCTCGTGGAGGCAACGATGCATGACAAGGGAAACGTGATGGAGGGCGAGATAGTGGTGCTCGAGCAGACGAAGAACTCAATGATCAAGAAAAGCGGACGATCATCATTGGAGGCTGGAGTCAGGATACTCGCAAAAGTGTGATCGAGGAGGAGGCGCTGGTCTTGCTCAACATGGAGGGCGTCAAAGAGTTCCTTGACTGTGAGAAGATCACGGTCTTTGGGCCTCGTAAGTCGTTTGGGGTGATCCGTTTCCTTGAGCGCAACGGGGAGAACTTCGCCATGTTGAAAGAAAGGATGTGGGGCGTCATCAAGTTTGTGGCGGCGCTCAAACATAAGTGGCCAAGCGCGGGGAATGATGCCAAGCCTGCGTGGGCATCCTTCTTGAAAACCAAAGGGGCGAGATTGAGGACATCACATGCATCAATGTTGAGAAGGGTGACCATGCAGCTTGCTTGCGAGACCAAGGACGCCAACGGTGCACCATGCCACCCCGCAAGTGTGCTCTCCGAGAACTACGATGTTGATTGGAACGCAGGGACCGTATGGCTTGCAGCTGCAAAGTTGGGGAGTGCCACACATCGCCAACCACGTGGTGAGAATGTCAAACTCATGCCCTCTGGCTGGGTCGATGTGGGAGCTATCGGGCAAGTCTCTGGTGCAGCAGTCGCAGATGTGATTGCGACACTCGAGCGAGAACTACAGTGAGAAGAGGGCGACAGTTTCACCAATGGGACGTCTGCTGAAGGCAAGCGTCGTGATCTGTGTGCAAAACGCAGAGGGAATGAGAATTCGAATATCAAGGTGATCTCTTGGAATCTTGGGGGGCAAAGCGCAGACAAAGCGAAAACCGCTTCACCTGATGCTGATGTTCTCTGTCTTCAAGAAGTGCAACGTGGAGAAGTGGGATGGAAAGAGGATGACGATGGTGACAAGGGTGACTTTCATTGGTTCTTTCACCGAGATCGTCAACAGTGGCGAGGGACAGGAATTGGCATATCTCATGCTATCCTTGATTCTGTCATCGACAAACGCAGCAATCGTCGTGGTATGTCCTTACTGACGAAGCTTCATGGAATTGGTCGGGTCGATTCTGTTCCTTTCATGCGCCAACTGGTGTCACGTGCAATGAGTACCTGCGGGCATGCCGTGAGATCAAAAAGCTTACTGAGGGCAAATGGTCACACTACCCCTGCATCTTTGGAGTCGATATCAATGAGGAAGTCAAGTGGCAGTGCACTGAGGACGACATCATCCCGGACATGGGCAATTCGAACTTTCAAGAATTCATTGACAACATGTCGTCTCTGCGGTTTCGATGTGTCCCACCAGTACAACCTCAACTGGATGATCCTACACACTTTCCTCGTGATCCAACAAGGTCGGGGCGACAAATTGATGCCATCCTCACCAGGAGTGCCAAGACCGACAGAGTGTGTATTGATGCTGAGCGGAGAAAAACGATCAACACTGATCATGCGGCTCTGATCTTGACCTGCCACTTCAAGAAAAGGGCGAGGCAATGGGGGACTGATTCGAGACCGAGATGGGTACAGGGTGAACTTGATTGTGATCTTCTTGAATGGGATGACATTCTCCATGCTGCAAAATCCATGACTCGTCCTTCAGCCAGCTCCAAATACCAAGACCCTGAGCATGTGACTGCTGCACTTCGTCGCGCCAGAAAAGATGGTGACAAAACTGCCTGGAAAGCAGCCTACAAACAGAGACGTCTAGCACGGCGTTATTGGCAACAGGAGAGGAGGAGCCGTGCCCTTGCTGGAGACTGGACGGCTTACCGTGCAGTGAAGAGAGAAAAGGTCAGGAGAACTGGTTGGTGGGGCAAACTCCTTGCAGGCAAAAGTGATGAACAATTGACAGCAGAAGTTCAGCAGCATCTACACGGCAAACTCTATGATGACACGGTAGAAGATTGGAATGGACAGCTTCAGCAGCATCTGGATGACATTCCCTGTCCTACGACGTGGAAACCCTACACTGCAGAAGAAGTTGCCATGGCCATTGCTAGCATGAGGGCGAAATCATCAGTTGGACCGGACTTGGTTGGGGTCGACCTGTTACGCAAGATCATGATCGATGAGACGCTGAGCCAGCAGTTGATTGACATCCTGAACTTCCATGCCTATACCCTGAGTGTGCCTGAGATCTGGGATGTCAGTTTATTGGCGCTCCTTGCAAAAATTGATTGGCCGGAGCAACCTCGCGACCTACGGCCGATTGCAATGAGCAGCTGCCTGCAAAAATGCCTGAACAAACTTGCGATGGGGAGAGTTTTTCCGGTGATACGCCGACCTAGCCTCTGTTCTGCCTGCGGCTGCGGAAGGCAGTGCGCTGACATTATTGGATGCTACCCGACTCCGAGACAACACCAAAGAATGGCGGCTACCCATCCTCATGGCAAAGCTCGACGTCCGTGGCGCGTTTGATCGGGTGAAGCGTGAAGCTGCTGTGGACTTGCTGAAGAAGCGCACGCTGAACATGAACGTGGATGTGGAAACACGTTGGTTGATTCGTCAGCTTGGGGAGAACAAATTGCAGGGGCTTGTTCCTGGAGGTGGTGCCGTCGAAATCCTATGCAACTCTGGGATAAAACAGGGAGCTCCGGAGTCTGCAGAACTGTTTGGGCTGCTCATGGGTGATGTCCTGGATGAACTTCTTGGTCGAGATGAATGGCGGAAAATCAAGATACCGTGGGGTGACGCTGACGTGGTGCTCGCCTTTTATCAGGACGACGTGTTCGTCTGGGATGAATGTGCTGGAAGTCTGAGCAGAAGGATTGAATTGATTGCCAAGCAGCTACGCGTCCTTGGGCTTGAACTTGCAGAGGATAAGACCATGATTATCTCTTCCAGATACTACAAGGGGCCCCGGAGCATCCGCGTTGGAGACAACACTGTCGAGATACAGGGCGAGGATGTACGCATCAGGGTGTTGGGGGTGAACTTTGCATTTGGTGACCCTCCTGGTCAGCAAGCCCGAGACCTTCTTGGCAGAGCAACTTCCGCAGCTTTGTTTCATGCTGACATTCTGGGAGAAGAAGGCAAGTGGGAAGACAAATCGCAGATGATGGACACGCTGGTGGCTGGCACTTTCACGTGGGCAGCTGGGGCAGTGCATTGGAATCAAGAGGAGCTGGCCATGGCAAATGCGATACAAATTCGCACCCTTCGCAAAGCCTTCCATCTTCGGAGAAGGCCTGCTGAAGATTGGCTGGGATGGCACAAACGAACATGGCGGCTAGTTCGAGCATGGATGCATACCAATCAAATTCGTCGGTGGTCAACCCACATCCTTCAACTACAACATGGGTTGCTGGGACATTGGGCCAGGCAAGTTGAGGGCTGGGACAACGATGGCAACCCAATCAGAGGGTTGACTTATCGCATCCTGCAGTGGCGTGGACATGAGTGGTGGAAGAGAGAACAGAGCCTTGTCACGGGAGTTCGTCATCCGGGGTGTTTCTATCCTGACTGTACAGAACGTAGAGTTGCCGAAACCATTGGACTTAACTGGGGCGAGATCGCTCAAAATCGCGAAGTATGGAAATGTTGGCGAGATGAGTGGGTGAAGAGATTCGATGTGAAGTGGACTGCGGGCAGACAGGCTGCGCTCAGATGGTAGTCGTCATGCACGAGCTTGCGTGGAACTGTTGTTTGGACATGCATGCACACGAGAGTGAATTTGCATTGTGGCAGAGTGAAGCTTGCCCAGCTGATGTGCCATTTTGCGAATGACCTTGGTGACACCTGTGCCGGTTCGTTGCAGCTTTGTGGGAGATCTTCGGAGCCTGCCTTTCTCCGCTTCGCCTTGTGTAGCCATGGGGCCTCTCCTGTTCTTCCTGACGGTTGTGGTCACCATGGGGGGACCCTCTGGAGATGAGTCTGAACATAGCTGGCGAAGCGATGACCCTGGAGATATGGAAGACCCACGTGATGATCGTGATAATGAATTGGATCCTCTTGTCAATGCACATGGAGATCCTTCTGGACTACTGCTGGACAATGTTGAGAACACTGGGCTTGAGCAGGGGCGACTCATCTGGAGCCCTGACTCTGTCGAGGGTGACCTTGGGGAACTTCGCCGTCTTCTACGTGTTCATGGACTTCCTGAAGAAGGAGAAGGACTATCTTCTGCTGTACATCCGCCCCGGGGTGTGCCTGACTTACCTGTTGGAGTTCGTCCCCCTCGAAACGATCCTGAACTTGCTCTACGATCGAAGCCATCACAGGATGACCCTCAACCTCAACAGCCAACACGTGTGATCGAAAAGGAGGGTGAAGTGCAACAGCAGAGCCTTTATCCCCCACGCCGAGCTGTCCGATTTGGAGAAACTGAGACGTTGCCTCTGCGTGCTGAAGATCTACGGGCTCTACTATCTGATGGTAGGGAACTTCGTCGAGGACAACACGCACATGCTGCTCAAGATCCTGATCCTGCTGTACCTGGTCCTGCCGTACCTGGGGGAGACCATGATGATCCTCCTCGAGCACAAGCGACATTGGGAAATGGCGGATTTGCTGCCCAAGATACTAATCCTGATGTACCTGACGGTGAATTTGTTATTCTACCGGAAGACGAAGCTTCTGGAGAGGGACAACCTGATGATCCTGTTCTACCTGGAGGAGATGCTGCTCGGGAACATCATGGTGCTGCAAACAACGATGTTGAGGAGCAGGTGACCACAGGAGTATTCGGCGACGAACTTGGTTATTTATTTGAGAACACATGGCTATCAATCAATGAACTTGTCGAATGGTCGTTTGTACATGGGACCAGCGATCGCAGTACCTGGTCATCGGTGCGCGAGTTGGTGGAGCAAGCATTGGTGCAGTACTCGAACTTTGTGGGTGCACCTGGCATATTGATGGAGCGTGATGTTGTGAATCAAGGACTACATGCAGATGATGGGCTGGTGCGTCGTTGGGGTGAATTTCGTGCTGGTCGAGATCGTTGGCACCTTCCCTCCGGAGATCGTCGTCCACCTCGTCGTGCTCAGCATGATCCTTATGAAGCCGACCAAGAGCAGGGTGACCCTACTGCCTCCTCGTCTTCTTCTGTACTACATGGACAGGGGGCGACATCTGGTTTGAGTACGATGGCCAGTGATGATGGAATGAACACCCAGACTGTGGGCTTCTACAAGCACGGAGTATTCATGCCCAGGCCGCGTACAGAACAAGAGCAAAGAAATCACGTTGGTGGACGCGGTGCGCAACGACAGGCGCGGCGAGCAGCTCGTATGGAGGAATGGAAGCGGGGTGAGTGGGTGCCAGCGTGGCTACGACAGTACAGGCGAGAAAAAGAACAACGAGACAAACAACGAGAGATGCAGATGAAAGAAAAGGTCAAAGAAGAACATGAGGAAGACGACAATGTGGACCTTCTGCAACAACCTGGACTTCCTCAGGGTGGTGAACTTCCTCAACGTGGTCAACTTTCTCAACGTGAACTTGTATGGGGCGAAATATACAATCATGAGTCTGTTGATGATGAGGGCGATGTTTCATCGCTCATGGAACAACCTGGACTCCGTGCAGACGAACGACTGGTGTTGAATAGAGAAGGTGTTGCTCAAGATCATATTCGAGAGTTCGATGTCTTCATGGGCGAGTATGAGGAAATGGTTCTGGAAGAGCTCGGCCCCGAGGCCCGATGGGCCCTTGGTCACTTTCTTGTGCAGTCTCAGAATGGCGCAGGACTGCAGGAGGCACTTGAGGACATTGTGGCCGACAGATGTCAAGGACGTTCTCGTGGTGCTCATGTTTATCCCCTACGTCGTGAACCACAAAGTCCTGAAGTATGTGCGCGACTGGTGGCTTGGACAAATCGGCTATGCGTCTTGATGGCCAACGTCTTTGAGAGGGGTATGCTTGAGTCCGCCCCTGGAGTACCTGTACGTGGGGCGAGCACTAGTAGAACGGGTCGCAGCCGCTCAAGATCCAGGACCCGGGCGAATCCAGAACATGAGGATGATGCCAGCTCGTTCATGGAAAATGGTCGACATACTGAAGGTGCTTTGGAAGATGAAGAAGGAGATGATGGTGATGGCGATGGCGAAGATGATGGGGCGACGATTCCTGTTTCACATGATGAAGAAGTACCTGGAGCTGGGATAGGACCAATGGGACTTGAAGCTTTGGACACTGACGAACAACGTCTACAGGCTGCCCGTGATGATGCTGAGGAACATGCAGTTCGAGCTTGGAGTGTTGAGATGGCGGTGCGCCATGCCCTACGTGAAGCGAGCCCGGGAACTGCGCGTGAGATCACGCGCAGGTGGCTGGCGAAACAGGAAGCTATGGCGCGAATCATGTACTATCTACAGTTGGGTGTCTCGCAGGCCTTGAGGACCTGCCCGAATGTGGACGCAGCAGTTGACCATGGGGTGGCCAATGTGCATGCACAACGCATCTGGGCGAGTGTACTTGGCGATGATGCAGACAACCCCTCCATCCAGCTACTTGCAGCATGCTTGCGTGCTGAGCTTGACCGTCGTGCTGCTGCTGGACGTGACTTGTCTGGTCGCCCTGGGTCGTCGCGTGATGTCGATGACAGCACTTTGGCTACTCGTGGGAGAAGTGGTAGGAGTGGCGACGAGAATACCAACAATGCTGTGCCCAGAAGCAGAAGTCGTCCTCGTCCATCGCAAGCACCGTGGATGAGGGAAGTCAGTGGGGCGACAGTTCCTTGTTTGAAGGCATGGTGGGAAAGGCCTTTGAACACTCTGGGGACGTCCACAGCGAGTTCGTCTAACCACCAAAGATTGGCTCGTGAGGCTGGTGGTCCTGATGCAGCCGCTGGTGATGCTGAGAGAGTGGGTGAAGTTGATCGTACTCCTGAAGGTGAAGTTTGCCCTGACACCAATGCCGGGACTATTGGAGGGGCGGAAACACACTCTGATGCTGCAGAAGATCATGGTGATGATGAGGACAACACCGATGAAGAAGCTATGCTTATGGTCTCATTGAAATGGACGCCTCCTTTGTCCATTCCGTGCTCCACGAGTTCATCTACAATGAGCCCTTGGATGACTTCTATGTGGGCATCTTCGTGTCCATCGTCCTCCACAAGTACACCTATCACGAGCCCTACTTGGATGACATCATGCTCCACGAGTACATCTACAGTGAGCCCTACTTGGACGACATCTATGTGTGCATCTTCGTGCCCATCTTGCTCTATGAGTACATCCACCACGAGCCCTACTTGGATGACCTCTACCTGTGCGGCTTTGTGTCATACATGGATGACGCCTTCGTCCATTGCTCGTCCATCGTCCTCTTGGAAAAAATCAACTTCAACATTCAGGCGCTGGGCGACTTCTACCTCCACGTCGTGCTCTATGAGTGCATCTACAGTATGCCCTACCTGGACGACCTTCATCTGTACATGCTCGTGCCCTACATGGACGATGCCTTTGTCCATTCTTCGTCCATCCTCTTTGACAGTGGCAACCACAACATCTATGCACTGGGTGACTTCTACATCTATATGCACTTCGTGCCCATGGACGACCTCTATGTGTACCTCCACATCGTGCTCTGTGAGTACATCTACATCATGCCCTACCTGGACTACATCCACATTATGCCCTACTTGGTTGACATCTACCTGTGCATCGTTGTGGACCAAAACTGGACATTGCTCCACATGGAGACTCTCTATGTGCAAACACTTCTCCGTGATGAGCCCTACCTCGTTGAGCTCTACCTGGACGACAACATACCAGTTGTGCTCTGACTCCCTCGTTGACGGCTACCCGAACGTGCTCCACTGGGATGGTCAAAACATCATCCACGCACTCCCCGACTACCAGCCTGTACTCCTTGTGGAGATTGCTGTGCGATGTCTTCCCAAAGGATGTTGAAAAATGCCTGGACTGCCCACTGGCTGAGTCTGGACTGAGCACTTCGTTGTCTATATAATCCTCGACCTTGTCCTGCATTACACGATTCTGCCCTATATGGATGTATGTCTCACCTGCGTGTACCTGTAAGGCAGACCTAGGTCGCAGACTCTGGTCATCACGCATTAAAAAAAACCTTAAACCCTAAACCCTAAACCCTAAACCCTAACCCAGATGCGCCGGGGGAGTCCTCGGGTCTCTTGCAGCCGTCGATGACGCCAGCACCCCAGTGGGTCAAAGCAGGGCTGGACTTACCCAGACCCCCGGGAGGATCTAGAAAGTAGGGTTTAGGGGTTTAGGGTTTAGGGGTTTAGGGTTTAGGGGTTTAGGGTTGAGGGTCTAGAAAGTGGATCCCCTAATTTGGGACCCTATACCGCTAAGGGTACCTTACAGGAACCCCCCATTAAGGGATCTTATTCGTTTATCGTACAGCGCATGCCGGAAGCCGTAGTCCAGTAATCCGGGACCTGTATTGATGGTCCTTACTCCAAAGGTTCTCTACCCTAAACTTTACACCCTGAAATCTCTAAAGCCCCAACTCTAATCCAGGGTCCGGCTAGTCCTACTCTCTGGTTCGTTTTCTAGACCTCTTGTTCCCTTTTTGTAGTCCTAGGTTCCCTTATAAAGTTACCCAATACCAAAAAGGGATCCCTTTTTATTCCTAGGTTGCTGGGCATCCTAGTTAGGGAGCGTCAACGTGCTTTGACTATAGGAT